TGAACAGGCCTTGGCCAAATATTGCCAAGGGGAGTCATTTACATTTTGCGGATCGTGCGGAGCGTGTGAGCTAGGTGCTTCAGCACTCATGATCTTGACCAAAGCCAATTATCAAGAGGTTCACCACAAACCGTGTTGGCTGATATAATAACAGTTTCAGTTCTCTCCGGCGATATATAGAATAGGTAAAATCTCAACCGCATCTGCTGCAGCCTTTGGCTTTATTTATGTATGCCGTCATTGAGTGATTCGCAGACCAAACCAACACGCTCAGGCGATAACTGTGGTTTAGATTAATGCGCATTCTCTTGGGTTACTTCACTGTGACAAAGTGAATCTTCGAAAAGTTTAACATCTGCAAATCTTCCCATTTTCCGAAAAGCTAAAATTGCTAGTAGGCATCCTGCCTTTAATCACATAGCCGTAAAAATATGTGCGCATTTTATTACCACTATAGTCGCATGTCAAATAGCGGACATATCACCAGTGATAGCATCAACTGATTGTTTCGCGAATTTATCCAAGCATTGTATTTTGGCAAGACATTTGGTGACCTCAGGCAGATGCAAAACGTGGACGAGCAATAGTTTGACACAATGTTGGCAGCGTTGATTCTGGAACCCACGCCAGACCTTTAACTTGCCTGAAGGCTTATGAAGGAGCCTCCCTATTTCATTGATTTTGATAAAAAACCGGCAGCTTACCCCTGCTTTTTGAGTAAATCGTTGGCTATAGAGGGTGTTGCTGATGCAAAATGCGTACTTCTGACTAGCCTGAGGAGAACTATGGTAAAATTATTATGATGCTCCTTGTCTATAGTCAGGCAAGCTCATAGTGGGATCTTCTGTTTGCCTACGCTTTCATAAAATCAAACCATTGTGCTCCTATGGGAATGGCTTAATTAACTCTGTTTCATGATACATCACTAAAACGATTGCAGCTAGGTAGTAATTTGCACAGTTAATGCAAAATAAAATTACCATACGCAGGATCTTGAATGTAGGAACATTCTATCCACATGGTGATTAGTATGAGTACTGGCGATGTCGTTATTGTGGCCGCTTTAGGCACATTGACGTTTATCTGTACATGTAAGCGTCAGCTATCTAACTTGTCCATGGTTATGCGAGCTGCCCCCTGATTTTTGGCCTTTCCTGACCAAATTTTAGCTTTTTGGCTTAAAGGTTACCCTTGTTAAAACAAAAGCAAAGTAAGCGTGCCAGTGTTAGCAAGAGTGTCATCTAGTGCATATAGAAATAGCTGAAATACAAGTGTCCTTTGCGACATCATCCATCATGCGATGATCGAGAGCATGGAAGCACGTGGAGCAGGTTTATCACGCGGAGAGTTTGGAGACGACGAAAAGGGTATAAAAGGCGACACATCTGAGCAGGCAAGTGTGTATCAAAGGAAGCAAAGAGAGAGTCAGAGAAATGGGATTCCTCTGGCTGGCCATGTTCGTATCCGTGGAAGTGGGCACCGTGGACTAGTGTCGTACAGGGTTCACAATGTAGTGAGAAGAGTGCATGGTCATCATGGGTGGTGCCACAATGCGCATTCACTTAAATGAAATTCTCTTAAGTGGACTGGGTATGTGATAAATGACATACGGTTGGTGGCATGGAATAGACAATCAGAAGAGATTGGTGTACCATGACTGCTTCTATGAGCTGGACCCGTAAAAGCACTTTTCAACCACTGCCAAGTAGAATTCGACAAGACAAACCTAAATACTAACCGCAGTATTGAGAGGCAACTCTGTCCACTCTACATGCCACAAGGACAGTGGCGGCTGCAAACGCAACAAGTAGAGAATTGAAGAGT